ATAAAGATAACCGGATATCCGTGCTCGTCCTGGTAATGGTCGTACTGTAAATACATAAAAGCGCATGAATGAAAGAGCAGTTCCAGCCGATCAAACCACCAAATCGATCGGAATAAATTCGACGAATAATCCGTTTATTCGGTGAACGCGTAACTTTTCAACGGAATCGAAAAAAAAGAAAGAATAGCAAAAAAAAAAAAAAAAAAGAAAAAAAAAAAGAAAAAAACACAAGACGAAGAAAAAGAAATGTAGAAAATTTACTTTGACCTGCCTCATTCCTTCTAATTCTCAATTTTGGAGAATTTGAACTCAATTTGGATCCACAAGATTTCCTTATTATATCGTATAATTTTTGTTCTTTTTTTTTTTTTTCATAAAATATAGTAGCTGCAGCAAGACAACTATTTTTTGTTACTCTTATGCAAGAGGAAGAAAAGAAAAAAAAAGAAGAAAAGAAAGAATGGAAGAAGAAAGTCGATTTGATTGAAGAAATGGCTAAAGGAGTATTATACGAAGACCAATGCAACGCTTCGATTCTCTTTAACCCTTTCGCTACGGTGGGCCTCGCCGCGAAGTACCTCGTCTAGAACGGAGCGCCGTACCGAAAGTGGGAACATTAAGCGCGCGCAGTCTTTAGCATTCGGAGCCTTTTGTCTCAAAAACGACTTTGTGACATTACTTTTAGAAACAAAATGATTTGTGTTCATAATTATGTGACTATAGTCTATGACTATAGTCACCCGTAGTAGTGAAAGGGTTAATCGTATATTCGATGCAAGGAAAGCACAAGAAACAAGAAGAAGAAGAAGAAAAAAAAAAGAAGGATAAGGTAGGAGAAGAAACTTTTCGTTGAATTTCGCACGAAACATCCAGATAAAATGGCAAAGTTAAAAGAGAGAGAGAAAGAAAAACGAAAAAAGGATAAAAAAAGTGCGAGAGAGAAAGAGAGAGAGAGACAGCAATAAGCAATAAAATTGAATCACCCTATATAAATCTCTAGCGAAGTATTTCGTGCCGAGAAAAGTGGGTACCGCACGAAAACTTTCATCTTGTCCCTAAAGTCCGAGCCGAGCTTCTTTTTGCTCTGTGTATTTGTGTGTGTGTGTGTGTGTGTGTGTGCATGCGCGCGCAAAAGAGAAAGAGAGAGAAGGTCCTTAGGCAGGATGTTTGTTCCACGTATCTTGGAACTCTCTAAGGACGAGTCGAGTCACGTGTTCCACGTGATCACGTTCTTCTGCATTGTACTCTCCATTTTCTGTGTGCGCGTTTATTTATGTATATATATATATATATATATATATATATATATATATATACAAATTCTCTTATGTGTGTCATCTAAAAAACATGTACGTATTATATATCGTCGAAGGCCATCGGGAACACGTGACGCTAGGCTTCTTCATCCGAACGGCAATCATTCTTGAGTTATTCCAAACGTTGTCATGGCATATACATCTATATATTGATATGTAATATGTTTGCGCTTATGTGTATGTGTGTGGGTGGAGAGGGGTATGTATTTCATACATACCTCGTGTGTATATTTAAGACGTGCATGCACGTTGTCTATCGAATCGCTGGCAACGAAGTATCTGGCTCGTAACAAATACGATTTTGATTCTTACCCTGAATTGTTGGAGAATGTTTTTACTACGAAATTTTATTTGTGCTATTGTGTTCAATATTGGTTAATAATTTTAATATTATAAATAAGCGTGGCAAATGGATTTATTTTCGATAAGATTGTTTTGAAAATAAAATATTGTAAACAATTGACGACGCCAACATTCCTGCTTAAAAATAAACAAATTAAAGATAGGCATCGAAAAACATGCTTACGGCAAATTAAGTTCAACTTAAAAGAGGTTCGTGCCAAAACAGAAAGAAACCAGGGGAAAGTAGTGCTATATCAATCGGATTTAATTAACTTGCATGGACGACCTTTGAATTTATCGATCTTAATAAAGAGAAGAGGGTTGGAGAACATTAGTAGGAATGTTGCGGTCGTTGTTAGATTCCCTTTCGGAAACGTAGGGAAAATGTAGGAGGGAGGAAGAAAGTTGTATCTTTTGATGATACAACTCGATCTTATTGTCCTATTTCGTAAGTCGAAACGTAAACGTAATAGTAAACGTAGTACAGTTTTAACAAGATAGAATGAAAGTTATCATTCTCGTGGATGTTGTAACCGAGAGAGAGAGAGAGAGAGAGAGAGAGAGAGGGAGAGAGAGAGGGAGAGAGAGAAGAATATAGGAAGCAAAGTACGCGAGATCTCGCAGGCTTATGTAGAACGTACGAGGAAGACCTTTATCGAGTCAAAGCGGTATCTCGTAGAGGGCTTCGCTACGAGTCGAGCCCTTTGCGACAGACGCCAACAAGGAACCTAGCGAGAAAGAAAGAGAGAGAGAGAGAGAGAGAGAGAGAGAGAGCGCCCTTCAAAGCACATTCCCTTCTGCGTAACCTTTTGACCCGCCACCCTGCCGCGTAGACAGCTCTTCGTCTCGTTCTCCACCAACCACCCTTTCCTCCTTCTTGTCGCAGAACACAAAGCCTTCGTTTCTTAGAAGAGAGCACATTTACGCATGCCATCTCCCACCCATTCCTCCTCCCTATTCTCTCTCCTTTTACTTCCGCTTTTCTTACGTATTTCTCTCAAAAGAAGATTCCAAATGCAAAGAGATTCACGTGGGATCTTTATCTATCCAAGTTTTGTTTTAGTTAGTAAATGAGAATAACAGTGACAGAGAGAGAGAGAAAGTGGGAAGGAATCTAATTGAATACTATATATATTTAAAGGAATACTTCAAAGTTGGACGATATATATGTGCCTATAATTATGAAAATGGTCTAAGTGAAAATTAAAAAAAAAAATGAATTTATCAGTTATTTCACACCACGTTATTTTAAACTAAATAAATTTCATGTAATTTTCAAGATATTGTCAAAAATGAATTGTTCAATATTTTCATATTTACATAGCATTCAAATGTAATTCTTGAAATATCTCGAAACAAGAGATATATGACTTAGACCACTTTCATAATTATGGACACATATATCGGTATAAGAACGTATTGGATAGGAAGAGAGAGAGAGAGAGAGAAGAATATCCGAATGTACTGTTGTTATAAAGTTGAAAAAGAGAAAAAAAAGAGAGAGGAAGTGGGAGAAAAGGTATAAATATTTTTGCGGGCCTTCGATGTCGTCATTGTCGTCGTTGTCGTCGTCGTCGTCGTCGTCGTCGTCAGCGTCGTCAGCCTTTCGTTTCGTTCTTGCAATTTTTTTTTTGTCGCACTCCAAAGCTCCGGCAATAATGAACGCGTCAATTTTCCATCTGGTCCCATCTTTCTCTCTCTTTCTATTTCTATCTATAATTCTCTAT